GGTTCCACGCGCCCCCAATAGTGCCACAGGCTGTGTCCAAGCCTTAAACACAAGAGCCTTTGGGGGGAAAACTCCAGATCCAGACTATAGCAAAGCCCTTCAGGCTGAAATGAAAGTGGGGAACTAGAAAGTTACTCAGACTCATATGAGGGGATTTTAAAACACTGACAAAGGTAAATATAAATATGAGCACAAGCACAAAGAACATACTTTTTTTTAATAAAAGAATTTTTAGTTTGTAACTTCTGTTTCCTCCTGGTTTAAAATACAACAACCATAAAGCGACAAGTATAAATGTATACATATGGATACTTTATAAAAGATGTAATATGTGACAAAAACGGCATTGAAGGAATAAAACTATATAGGTCAAACACTCATTGAAATTGAGATTCATCTGAATTAGGTGAATAGAATAGCTTTTCCATCTCCTCTAATAAAATTCTATGTATTGTTTTAAAAATTGCCCTTTTTTGTTTTTGTTTCATATCTAAGGCAGCTTTGCCTCAATAAAGATAACAAATATCTTCCTCTAAATGTTTTAATTTTTGCTTACATTAAAATCTATGATCCATTTTGAGTTAATTTTTTGGGTATTATTTTAGAGTGAAGATTTTTTTCCTTCATTCTTTTTTCTATCTATGCTTCAAATTACATATTCTCTTAATCTATTTTCATGTTTGCTGGTTCTTTTCCCAGTTTAAATTGCTGCTCAAACCTTATTGAATTTTTCACCTTGGTTATTGTACTTTTCAACTCCAGGGCATTCATATATATATATAACATATAATATAATGTATTATATATTATATATATAATGTTATATATAATATATAATACATTATATTATATATTATATATCATATTTAAAGAAATAAGGAAAATGACATTGCCTAATCAAATAGAAAACATATATATATTTCTATCTCCTTATGTTTTCTATTTGATTAGGCATTGTCATATTCTCCTTATTTCTTTAAATATGGTTTCCTTTAGTTCTTTGAACATTTTAGAAATAGCTTCTCAGCATTTATCCTATATCTGATACCCCTCAAAGGAAGTTTCTATTATGGATCACACTTTTCTTTGCTACCTCATAATTTTGTGTTGTAACTGTATATTTTAGGTAACTTATAGCATCTCTGCATATTGACCTTTCTCACCTACTTCAGATGTATCATTATTATTTAGTGACATGGCTGGACAAATTCATGAAGCCTATTTCTTCCTCAATATGCCACCTTAGGCACTAGTATTCAACTTTTCCTCCCTGGATTTCCTAGGGGTTGCTTGAGTCAGCACATGTGTGGTCAGCTATTCAATGGTCAAAAGTTGTACTTCTAACCTCTGAATCAGTAAGATTTTCACCTTATCCTGGGGGTGTGTGTGGCTTGAAGGTTGCTTTCACAGCTTAGGGTTTAAAAGTTGGCCCTGCATTCAGGCAGGAACTTGTGACTCAGAAGTTCCTTCTCTGGTCACTTTTAGGTCACAGGCTTCAGGATGCATTCTYCCTGATCACAGGAGTATCTGTGATTTTATCAAGGCTCTTTCTCTTTCCCCATSGTGTCTAAACTCCTTGTTGTCTCTCTTGGTATCATCATCAACCATTAGCCCCCAACTAAATTTTAGGTGCATGCTTTATGGTTTTTAGCAATTCTTTAGCGTATTCATTGTTCCAGTCCTGTCCCAAATAAAGTCAGGCCCTCAGATGGTTATTTTTAGGCATCAATTTTAAGAATTCTTTTGAGAGCTGGTAAAGCATTATTTCTGTATGTGTCTCTGAAGTTATTTTCAGAGATTTGTGTGTTGATGGATGGAATGGGGAAGTGGGCACACTTCTCTTTTGCAAACTGGTGACATTCTCCTGCCCTGGAATACTGGACCTTCTGGTTCTCTGGCCTTTGGATGTCAACAGCCTCGCGTGGGTTGTGAGGCCTTACACTACTGGCTTCTCTGGTTCTGAGATTTTGAGATTTGGACTGAGCAATGCTACTAGCATCTTTGAGTCTCCAGCTGGCAGGCCACCTTCTCAACCTCCATAATCATGTAAGCCAATTCCCCTATGTGCCCTCTCATAAATTTCCATAGTTTGTATGGGTTCTGTCTCTCTGGAGAATTCTTACAGAACCCTTGTAACATGTAGTATGTTGTCAAGTCTTTGAAGCTCACTCCAACCCTCTCTATAGTTCTCTGCCTTTGTGCTATGAAGCAGAAGGTGGGGTTAATGAAAAACTGGCTGTTCATTGAATGCTCTACCCACATCCTCCCTGGAGCTGCTGTTGGGTGCAGGGAAAGTAGGGAGAAGGACAAAAGTTGTGGAAAATATAATCTCCCAAGTGACTTTATTTAATCTTCCACCCAGATATTCCTGTGTTTTTCCAGTAGCTTCATACAACTAATCAGGTTATTTTGTGCCTTTTACTATAAATGGGTATTTTTTTAAAAAAGACTGTTTTCCAGCTAATTACTATAGTTTTCAAGGAAGGTAATTTTCAGCATACTCCCTTGGATGTTCAAGATACTGAAAGCAAGTCCTCCATAATATTTCTTGATCATCTAGTTTTTAAATGAAGCACATATAAACCAATGAACACCACAATCAACCATTTCTACTCTGCACTGTAAGGAAAATTTTTGGCTAATGTCATTTAATTGGCAACAATGAAATAAAAAATTAATTCCTCCAGCAAGTTTTGCCAGATGGGATATCAAGATGCCTTGCCAAGAACAAGGACCCTAATAAATTTCTAAGGCAAATAATCGGTGTACTAACCCCAACAGGTATATATCCCAAGTAAGCAAATATCAATGGTAAAAAGGAATTTCATTTTTTAAAATATMTGTCAGCTGTGTGGAATTAGTGGGTAATATTCAACTCACCTCCATCATGTCCTATCCAAGATCTCTTATTACTTTTTCCTAACAACTATTTCAAATGAAAAAACTAGTAGCTATTTCTGATCTAACTTGGACATAATAAGTTCTGCAATTCTGCTTTTTCATCATTTTTACTTCCCTCCCTAATTTGCATTAGTCTTGGCACACAGATGACATATTTACCCACTTATTGTTTTCATTATGTACTCTCCTCTTTTACACAAAAATAACATTTACAGTGGCAACTTTATTATCAAATTCAGTTTTTATACTTTGCAATTCTTAAACAGATAGAGTGTATCACAAACCATCAAACTAGTATTTTTTAAATGCACACCCTACCATAAAAGCACAGCTTTGAGGGACCTCAAGCAATAGTTGGTACACTATGACTGGTGGGCGAAATCTAAACTACTGCCTATTTTTTAAAAAATATTTTTTTCATAACTTCATTTATTTTTATGTGGTGCTGAGGATCAAACCCAGTGCCTCACACATACTAGGCAAGCACTCCACCGCTGGAGTGACAACCACAGCCCCATTGCCTATTTTTGTAAATAGTCTTATTAAAACACATTCACCTTCATTTATGTATAGTCCCTGGCTATTTCTGCATTATAAGAGATGAGTAACAACAGAGACTATATCCAGTAGAGCCCAAGTTATTTACCATTTGACCCTTTCCTGAAAAACAAACTGCTGACCCCTCAATTTTCATAAAAAACTATAGCATTTCCATCTGTGCTACTGAATACTCAGCAAGATAAAATTCTTTGAAAAGTAAATTATTTTTTAAAGTCAATGCTAAACAGTGGGAGGCCCAAATCAATGGAAATGGATAAATAGGAAAATAATCAAACTAATTCTTGACTCTGAAGTTTTATTAGCTCAGTCATCTTTAGTCAAGAAAAATAAAGAACAGAGGGTTCTGTTTATTTCCTACTCAACAATAAAGAAGTTCCAAGCAGGTTTGCACCCTTCAGAATAACCTAAATTAAAGCCAAAAGGTTCCCATATGCAACTGATTTTAAACGGTTTTTAAAACTTTTCAGACAAATATATAACAGTAATTTTTCTGGAATGGCTACTCTGAAAGTATTTTTAGAGCATCACAAAGACTGGCAGGATAATTCCATTTTTCCTTTCTAGTCACAGGAAGCAATGGCTCATTACAGATCTATCCTTAACACAGCATTTCAGTTTTACTGCTGTAGGGTACTGAAGAGCATAAGAAACCTATGGCTCACCTTGCCAGCACAACAGAAAAAAATATGGTAAATGTGACCCTTCTCAAACAAAATTTCATCTATGACTTTTTTGGGGGAAGAGGCTCATACTTTATTTTGTATAGTTCACTAGCATAACATAAAAAACAAAAAACTTCACACACTTGGAAATATAAATAATTACCCATCAGAATAATGGGTATAATCTCCCATTAGATTTTAGCACAGTTAAAAAAAATTCTTATGTAAACACAAACTTAAGATAACTTTAATTGAAGAAAACATTCATCAACAATGAAATTAACAATGCTTACCATTCTTTAAACACCATATACATTATTAATATATACTGTGTATTTCCAATCAACTCCATTCTTAGGCTCAATTTTTAAGAAACACGATTTTACCAGGTTTTATACAAAAAAATACTTCACTAAGAAAGTAGATAAACTGCACAAAAACAGTACAAGTATAATGTGCATAGCAAGATAGCTTGAAGCATCTATGTATGGCTTTCTTTAAAATAAAAAACTATTAGGGGAATGGGCCCATTTGGGACCTTACTGTTACAGTTGACATATGTAAACTGTTTCACATCTTTTTTAGGCACTTGCTAACAATAGTGTTCAATCCCTGAAAAATTAATTTTACCTAAAAAAAATCCACATCTGAAATAATAACCAAAAAAAAAATAGAAAATAACATGGGTTAAAGTTTTACATATTCTCTTTAAATTAAACAACCAGTTTTATTAGTGCATGCACAGAACTAAACTAAAAGAAAATAAATTTTGTGACAAAACTTTCTGTGCAAAATTTACATAACAAAGTACAAAAAATATGTACAGATTTAATTTGTTATATACAGAAAAGAAGCCCTGAAGTTTTCATCCAATCAATGAAAATATCATTTAACACTTATAGTAACAATATAACAAAAACCATAAAACACACAATTTTGTAATATAAGAACTTCATTACCCAATGATCCAACAAAATTTGATCCAAACTTACAAGGTGAAAAATTTAAATCTATTGATTGTTATGAAAATGTTCACTCAGAAACTCCTTTGGGCATGTTCCTTAGGAATCCGTCCTGAAGTTTTATGAACTACCAGAGTCCAGTGTTAATTCTTCCCCATTTTCCAACATCAACAATTAGTATATATCTGCTTTGGGTTGTCCATTATACTGAAAAGTTGCTAACAAAAATGGTTTGTCCTAATTTGGACATGTTCAGATAATAATACTAATTAAACTGACAAAAATATGATCTGCCTTGCTAATCGTGCTTCAAAATATCATCTCTGTAAAAAAAAAAAAATGTTAATTTTCAAGAAAATCTATTCCCTTAGAAGTGTTTCTATGTTCCACGGTTAAGGGATGGTAATCAGGAAAAGATGGTCACTTGGTTTTTGGGAAACAGTTTAATTCAGATAAGCACACTTCTGTGCAATGGGATCATTGGAGAATATAATCAGCCTAAGGAAAACGTTGAAATTCTTTAACTGGACTTGAAACTAGACAAAGAGATTCTCTTGAGACTGCCCATCTATTGCAATACTTGACATGGCCATTTAGAAAATCAAAATCACATTGGGAGGATGTTCCAATTTTTGACATAGAAGAGAACTTAACATAATACAGGGTTTACTTGCCCCATACTCTGAGCTTTATTTAAGATGTAGTAACTATAGTAAGTTAAAAGATACTTTCAAAGGAGTCTAATACCCTTTAAACTGTATTTAGCAAATGTCAAGTAACTTTTTTACCCAAGCTCTCAGTATATCTTCACAAGTGAGGAGAAATTTCTCAACTCCTTCGTGAAAGAGCTCTCCATCTTCAGAGGAGCTGTATATATCAGATTTATAAGGCTGGTGGAAGAAGAGAGGGAATGGAGCGGCCATTACCCTCTACTAAGAGTCTCTAAAGAAGTAAATTGGGAAAACTTTTTATCAAAATTTTCTTTAGCCCTAACTTCCCACAAACACATCTTTAAAAAAAATCAAGGTACATCTGTGCTGATTAGTTTCTTCCAAAACTTATGTGTGCAACGATGGCATTTTCAAGTACCACACATAAAGCTTTTGCTCTTCTAAAAACATATGACTTTTAAAACATTTAATTTCAGGAACTATACCAAGTAAAAGCTGCATGTAGTATGGTACTTCAACCCAGTGTTTTCTTCTAAGGTAATGTTGCTTTTCTTTTCCTTGGTAATTACAATACCTTATTCTAACATATTCCAATCCCGAGTGGCTTCCATTAAATGTCTCTGACCATGACCAGCCCAAGCGTCCTGATTGTCAAATACTCTACCACAAAACCAACAATTAAACTTAGTTTTCAAAACATTTTCAGAGGTAGTTTTTACAATCTGATAATTGTTTTTGCTTGTCTTTTTGAGTGTTAATTTTAGCACAAACCTTTCTTTCACAGAACTAACATGTTTAAATGTTTTGTGCCTCTTAGAAAAATCATCATAAGTTGTTTTTGAAGGGTTATAACAAACTGGTTTCAGTAAAGCATTCATAGTTCTTTTTGACAATGAAACTTTAAGTACACGTCCATTAAATTTAGCGACAGTTTTCATCACACTCACTACTTCTGGTGCATCTGCATCAGGATGATTTAAAACCACAACTGGTTGGTTTCTCCTAGGACATTTCACAAGCTGTTTGGAACTAAAAGGGAAAAGCCGCAAAGTTCTAACTGAATCTTTTGAAAGCCTAGGTCTGCTAAATCCAAATGTTTCACGAACATCTTCAGTTTTAGCCTTTTCTTTACACTTTCTATGCAATGATGATTTTTTTCTTGGAGGTTCTTGGGAACTATCCCTAGACTTTCGTTTACAGTTTCTGTTTCTAGCTACAAAGGCAGTTTCAGAATCTTTATTTCTTACACTTGTTTTTATTTTTGAAAAATTTTTTTGGGAAGTCTTTCTTCTATTGAAATTTCTCTCAATTGTACAATTTGTCTTACATCTTAATACCCTGGCCTCTGAATGGTCACTGATACATACTGGTTCGTCAGAAGACTCAGGGCATGTTGCAGTAGAGGTTATAACAATTTCATTTGCTGGCATCAAATCATCTAATAAGAACGGTAAGGCATCTCTAGAAGATTCTGGCTCTTTCTGCTCTCCACCTATAGTCTGATTAGATGGTACACCGTCTTTCTGTGGTGAGGATGCAGAGTTGCTAACTAACAGATTATTAGCAGCAGTCACATTTAACACAGGGTTAAAAATTTTCAGCAATATTTTTTGTGATGTTCCTTCAGGTCTCTTTGGCTGTATATTTTGATAATAAGAACTATTTTGGACTAACTTAGGCTTAAGCAGCTCAGCATTATTTGGCATCACACACTTTAAAAAAACAGCTTGTGTGCCATCAGGCAAGAGGGTATAAAGTGGTGTTTTTGAAAAAATTTCATTCTGAGGTTTTACTGAATCCAAGATATTTAACTTTGTTCCCTGCTGCTCAGACAATGCATTGGGAATAGGAATAGCTTTCACTGAAGAACTTGCTGATGTTTTAATAATGTAAGGGCCTTTTAATGGCAATGTATTTTCTGAGCTACTTTTTATGCTCAAACAACTGCCAATGCTGGAACAAAATGCAGGTGTTAGACAATTGTTGTTTTGTTCTACCTTTAAAAAAGATGTTTTGCAAGGATCCTTGGTCACAGTTCCACAAACTTGAGCACTCTCAGTTTTTACAGTAGAAAGACCTTCAAGTTTCCCACTATTAAATGTCAAAATCATCCCAGGCTTCTTGTTTAAAAGAGGAGGTACACCTTGTGTATTAACTAGTGGACGTGATCTTCCTGAAAAAACATGGAATCCAGGCTTATTGGCAACATGCAGTGGTATAAAAAAACCTTTTGGAGTTTGAACAAATATAGTTTTTTTATGTTCTGAGTTTAGAAGTGGACTCTGCATATATAAAGAACCTGAATTTTGTGTAGTGGCTCGTAGTTTGTCCTTTACAAGCTGCTGTGTTATTATTGCATCTGACTGAGTCTTAAGTAATGTGCCAATACCTGAAATTCTAGGTGTCTTCTCTGAATCTCTCACATCTTGTGATACAGATAGCACTTGTTTTTCCTTTCCATTACATTTTAAATTCAGATCATTTGGGGGCACATCAACACCTCCATTACTAGAGAGAAGTGGGAAGATGCCTTGCCTTCTGAAGTCTTTTGAAGATTCAACTATTGTGCCTTCTCCCTCGTGTTTCTGAAATGACTGGTCACAATGAAGTGACAGGCTTTGATTTGGAATGTCAGAGTCTTGTTTTACATCAGATTTTGGTTTTAATATATCTTGAAGCAATTGGTTTACTTCAGGGGGCAAAAATTCGGATGCCTGTTGGCTCTGGAGAGAAAAAACAGATGTAATTCTAGGCATCAGAGGTGAATCGACACTAGAAATGTCATTCCAGTTAGATTTTTCAGTTACATTCTCTAAGTTTTGGTTTTCATTAGTGTACAGGTTTTGTCCCTCAATGTTTTGTCCTTTTTCTAAAACACATTGTTCTTCAACTTCAGCTTTCATTTTTAAAATTCCATCTTTATCATTTAAAAAGCTGACAGATGATAACAGGCTATCTGGGTTTGAGCTCTCCTTCCTCACTAGGGATAAAGCTGTCTCACTAACTGGTTGCTGAACTGTTTTGCTTGAAGATTCTCTCTGAAGGTTTTCACACATTGCTGTTCCTGAAAACCTTCGACGTTTATTTGAGTTATTCACTTTTGAGTAATTATGAAAAGGCAATGATCCTTGGTTGGAGGACTCAACAGGTAACTCAGAATTGACATAATTAATGCAATAGTTGTGCATATCTCCACTGTTGTATGCATTTGGTTTGGTAGTATGGTTGACTTTGTCTGGACTTTTAATGGTAGTACCTAACACCTCAGGATGACTCTGAATGATATGATTTCCCCATAAGTCAACATTATCTCTTGCTTCAACTTTTGTGGTCACTGACATAGTAACCAATTCTGATGTTGTTGGTAAAGAAGATACACTTTTGCCATAATCCATTGTTGGAAGCATGTTATTCTTTTCTGATATAAAAGCCATTTCTTTCTCTGAAATTACTTTCCCTGAAAGTACAGGAGATGAACATGAAAACGGAGGTGGTTTCATATAAACTGTGTCACTTATCTCAGTTGTTACTCCTGTTAAAAATCCAGGTGTGTCCAAAGTCTGGGGCTGCAAATTAGTAGTACTGTCTTTTGCAGCATCTGAGTGTGAGGTGGGCGAGTATAAATTCTGCTTATTTGTGGGCAACAATTTTATTACAATATGCTGTTTTCCATCTACCATCTTGAAGCCCATAAACTTAGCACTATAGTTAGCAGGAATTGTTATTTTATTATTTTTCACCATTAATACTGTAGGTCCTTGTAGAGCAGTCTTCAAAAAACCGGAAGTAGCATTGGATCCCTCCTCAGCTCTATTACATTGCCCAGTGGACAAAAGAGCTGGTTTTCCTGACTCCAACTCTGCAGGCTCATCACTATTCTCACAGTGTAGTCTTTCACCCTTTTCCTCATTTAAATGTTCTTCACCAAGATAGCTCTGGTCTTCAGATTTGGTCTGTGTTTTATTCATTTTATTAAGCACTTGAGTGTTTTCTTCTATATTTCTGTCACTTCCATTAGTAATTTTCTTACGTTTCCAGAATGTCTTCCTTGATGCACCTATTTTATATCTTTTCAGTATTAACTTGAGTCCCGATGAAGTGTTTGCCATCCTTTTTTCATATTTATCTTTTTCCAGTTTTTCTTTTGCATACAAGTGTTCTTTGTGCAAAGTTATAACATGTCTTACAAGATAGTCTTTACGGGTGGCACCATAGCTACAATATTGACAAGTGAAGGGAAGAGTGCCAGAATGCACATGAAGGTGCTTCTGAAGCTCCCCTTTGGTAAAACATACATGATGGCATTTACCACATTTATAATGAACTTCATTATGTCTATGAATGTGCTGGACAAATGTGCCAACATCCTGGGTGGAGAATTGGCATTTTTCACATTGAAAATTACCATTAACACAATGTGTAGATGTGAAATGCTTTGTCAAATCCAATAAAGTATATACACGCTCATTGTTACAAATATCACATTTTACTAAAGTGCTCCTATGGGTTCGTCTGTGTTGTTTAAATATCTGGAAGTCATTTGCTGAAAAACTGCACATTTCACAAGGATATGAAGGCAATTCACCATGGTGCCACATTTGAAAGTGTTTCTGCAAATCATTTGGGCTATACAGAGTGCTGTCTTGGCATTTTAAACAGCTGAAATTGAGTATTTTTGCAGACATTTTTATACCCTCTTCTTCAGGTCTCTCACACTTATGAAGTAATATGCACTCCTCTACACAGCTCACAGTCTTTACACTGATAGATTTTCTTGCAGTCTGTGGTTTACTCTGAAATAATTTTCTATATTTGTCAACTTCACTTTTCACTAGGACTTCATTTGGAATATTTATCTTCGGCAAATCAATTTTCACATTTTTAAGATCATAATGAAAACTACTTTCTGAAATTTTTGGTCTAGGTGCTGATCTGATAGGATCAGATATCACCTTTTCCACATCATTTTCTTTTTTAAATGTAGTTTGGTTTTCATCACAAAAAAACTGTTTCTGTTCAGATGGCATGATTTAATTAAAAATCTCAGTTTGTTTTGTTCTGAAAATCTCTGAAGTTATCTGTAATTTAAACAGGAAATGATACTGTGTCGAGACATCTTCAAAATAACCAGAATTTTCCCCACATCATTTCACCTAAAATTAAACAAAAAAATTGAAATTTTCATCACAAAATTCAAAGTAAGTTTTATATCTCTACATTCATATTAGCAGACTAGAAATACTAATCAAGCATGTATATTAAAGACACAAACCACCTGTTAAGTATGTTAAGAAAAACTTAGCAAGAAGTAATCATTTAAAGTAAAACTAAAATTCATTTGGAAGTCAGGAAAGCATACTCTAGTTTAAACTCTATTATATGACACTGGGAAAGCTTCAGCTTCTCTGTACCTCAGTTTCCTCATTAAAAGAAAACAACAGCTGGATAAGTACCCTAGAACTCTAAGATTTTTATAGTAAACTGGTTTTAAAACAGGATTAAAAAGTTATTTTTTGAGATAGGTTCTCATTATGCTGTCCAGGCCAGCCTTGAACTCCAAGGCCCAAAGGATCTTCCTGCCTCAACCACCTAAGTAGCTAAGACTACAGGCATGCACCACTATATCTGATGGAATAAAAATGGTTTCAGAGCCAGGCATGGTAGTAGCATAGGCCTATAATCCCAGCTACTCAAGAGGCTAAGGCAGAAGAATAACAAATTGGAGGCCAGCCTGGACAACTTAGTGAGACCCTGTCTCAAAATATGATTTTAAAAAAGGTCGGGAGCTGGGAAAGCAGCTTAGTGGTAGATTGCTTGCAAGGTCTTGGGTTCATGCCCAGTTCTAGGAAAAAAAAAAAAATCCTAACAAGAGATCTCTAAAAACATAAGCTCCAGTTATATCAGTTAAGCACACATGGTTTGTGCATACTATTAACTTTTACTTTTTCACTCGCATAGTTGATCCTACACATATTACATTACTCATAAGGTAATTCTCAATCCCGAAATATTTCACCCCAAATTTTCTATTTCCTTAGTTACCCAGAGATAATCTACATTTAAAATAAAAGCCTGATTCATCTAACACAAACAACAACAAAAAGACGACATTTACTATCCAAAGTTATCACTACTAACTGGTAAAAAAATAATAAGTAGGAAAAAATTGAAAGAAACAGAAATTTCCCTTATTCTTGAAGTCTGTCTACTACCTGGTCTGGTTTCCTACCATTTAGGCTATTTGAGGTTTTTTGGTCCCAAGTACTCAGGCAGATGGGAGTAATGAAAGCCTCTGGCAGGTTAGAATATAACCATTACTATCCACTTACACTAATTAAAGTACCTACTGGTCGTGTTATTCTAACAAGTTTGAATCTGTGTTATAATCTCTTCACTGGAAAAATGGGGGAAAATCAGTACTTCCCCTTCCTCCTTCACAAGGCTGCTGTAAAAAATTGAGAAAATACACATGGCCAGGTGTGTGGGGGAACACAGCTGTGATCCCAGCTCTCAGAAGGCTGAGTAAGGAAGAGAACTAGACTCAAGACCACCCTGAACAACTCAGTGAGGCTTGGGATGTGCTAGCACTTTCCCAGCATCTGGGTTCCATCCTCAGAATGAAAGAAAGAAAGAAGGAAAGAAAAAGAAAACACACATAAAGATTGTTAAGAACCATTAACAAACTGTTAAGAACCATTACCTTCTGATTACCAAGTATGTTGCTGAGATTGGAATTTGAGTACTAAAAGTTCAATAGTAAACATATAAAATTATATTTTAGAAAACTTAGATTTTCTTATTTTTACGTTCTTAAATACATAAGCAAATATTAGATAAAACTGGATAAGCTAAAGAAAATAAAGTATAAATCATATTAAGCTCCACTCATAATGACCAAAGATCTCATGTTTMAATTTTAGTTAATCTAAATACCTAAAAACTTCAGGGTTACAGAAATCTTTTACTGAAGGAATATAATTAAAAGTCAAATTGCTTTACAGATTAAAATATCCTTATATTATTTCTCAAATCTATTTTAGGCCACATCTTAAAAAGCACATTAATGTACATGCTAAACTAACAATATATATTAGAAAGGTGCCAGCTTACTGATTTTTTAATATGCCATACCTAATATAGTAAAATGTTAAATTTTTTACTCTAAATATTGTACTGTATCGCTAAATGTAATTTTTACGTTTTTAAAAACATTTTGTTCTTCAAAACTACAAAAAATAATAATAAAGGGATAGATAAAAGTTCCCATGTACCTGGTGGGCACTCCATATGAACTGGAATACTCCCTATAGAGCAGTTTCTCAACAATGACAAGCATCATAACCACCTATGTAACTTTCACCATATCAGAATCTGACTGTAAGGTTCATACATGTGAAACGTTATAATTAAGGGTTCTTCGTTTGCCAAAAACCATAGTGTGGTATTATTACATAGATGGTATTACCTATTGCTACATATAGAGAGGACTATCATGGGGTTCATTACAAAAAGCAAACTACTTCTTATAGTAATATTACATGTCCAAAACTGTATTTCTACAAGTGCCAAAAAAACTATATTTTCATACTTCTAAATCCCATCAATCCCATTTCAAATATCGACATAATTAAACATTTTTCTTATAAAGTAACATTTCCCAAAGACTGATAGCCAGAGTGAAAATAGGCTTTTAAAGCAACTCAATCTGCCAGGTACTGTGGTGCATGCCTGTAATCCCAGCAGTTTGGGAGGCTGATACAGGAGGATGGCAAGTTCAAAGTCAGCCTCAGCAACGGCGAGGTGCTAAGCAACTCAATGAGACTCTGTCTCTAAATAAAATACAAAATAGGGCTGGGGATGTGGCTCAGTGGCCAAGTACCCTTGAGTTCATTCCCTAATACCCACCCTCCCCCAAAAAACCAACTCACTCTAATAAAAACTAATAAATACCTAATAAATATCAAGTATTTTGATGGGTGCTATGGAGAGATTTAAAAAATGGTCCTTGCCCTACTGCAGCTTTAACCTAAAGCAGAAAGGACATGTACATTAACACATTGCTTATTCAGAGCTGACTATCCAGCAGCTCTTCCAGTATATATACAAGAACAGAAAATATTAAGCAGGATGTGTGGCAGCCAAAAGAGATGCCATGAAGTCCACTCATGAAAGTACATGAGCTCTCCTCATAGGCAAGCTCTGCATATTCTCAGGCAGATCTGACTTATTCCTAACAATTTAAGTGAAATTGTGTTGGTTTCACAATCCTTAGCAAATGAAGAAGATTAAGAGTTCCTTGGCAGTGAGAGAACAAAAATATTTTCAAAAAGGAAGAGAGGATACCATGATTTACCCAGAATAGTTAATACCACAGAGATGGAAAGCAGGTTCATTGTTTTTAGGAGTTAAAAGGAAAAAGGAAAATGGAACTGATTGCTTAACAGGTATGGGGTCTCCTTTGGGAAGATCAAAATATTCTGGAACTAGATGAAGGCAATGGGTGCACAGAAGATATATGTAGTAAGTACCACTACAGTATATACTTTAAAATGCCAATTTATGTTATGTGATTTTTCACCTCAATAGAAAGAGGGGAAAGGCACAAAATCTTAGAAGCATAGCTAATTAAAGTAACATAGCTTAAGAACGAAACAGTTATACCTGTGCCAATAACCTGATGGCATTCAGAAATACAGAACTACTGATAAACATAATGGCCCCAAAACATGTCAAGAAAGAGTCATATCATACTAAGAATACCCTATTTAAAAAGGTATGAAATTATTTAATATATTTTAGCATATCAAAAAATTTCATCAAAAGTAAATGGGCTGATCAGTACAACGAAACAGCACAACACACCCATAATCCTAGCCAACTAGGAGGCTAAGGCAGGAGAATCATAAATTTGAGGGCAGCAACTTAATGATACCCTGTCTCAAAATAAAAATAAAAAGGACTAGGGGTGTAGTTCAGTGGTAAAGCACCCCTGGGTTCATTTCCCATTACAAAAAGAAGTTATTTAGAAAGTTCACTTAGCATTCTCATTTCTCTGACAATGACAAATTATTTTAAATTAAGATTATTTAGCATGTGTCTATATATGCACATCACAAATGTCAATCTTATGGGTTGGTGTCACCTTTTAACATTCTCTTGACTTTCTATAAAAACCATCCAAATATTTTTAAAAGCCTAACATTTTAGGGTCTACACTACATTTTCCTGCCATAATAGAAACAGCACAAATTTCCCTGCTAGACTATGTATTCCTATTATTTTAGAAAATATGGTTGGCTTGATTATGAATTTAAATACAGATACTACTTACAGCTTTCTTTGAACATCCATTTATGAAAAAAGCTGTCAACAATGTCACTCAGGTATCCAGAAGACAATGAGTACATTACCATGACCAGAGGAAAGAGTCCATATAAGAAAGTAAGACATAAAAAACATCTTCAGTACTGTTTGTAAATATTTTTAAAAGTATGATTATAGTAAATTTTATAATTCAAAATAATGAAGGGAAAGAAGAGTGGAGAAAAACAGTATATAAATACAGTATTCTTTTATTGTTTCTACTCATTTTTATAGGCATGTAAAAAAGTCAAAATACCACAAATTTAGGGTGAAAAGAAGAAAGCCCCCTTGGTATCCTCTCCCTCAATGCAATTCTTCCATGAAGCACTGTTAACATTTTGATGGGTAACATCCCAGACCATTTTCTATATATTTATAACATACCTGTTTGCACAGAAGTTAGTGCTCTCAGTTACAGATGTCCAAAAATCCAACTCAGTCTGATCTGAGCAAAACAGAATTTACAACTACTGGAGATGTCTAATACACTATGCTAAGAGGAGGCTTCACTTAGATATACAAACAATGTAATTAGTATCTGGTATCTCTCATTCTCTTGGCTTCATTTTCAGGTTCAAGGTGATGCCAAGATGACTGGCTAACATCCTTCTAGGTACAAGACTAAGAAAAGAGCATGTTACTCCCTCAAAAGTAGAACATAAGTCTCAGCCCAAATTTTCTTAAGCATCAATCCCTACAGTGAGATAAATTTTTATGAATGACCAGGCCTGATTTGCAGGCAGCCTTCACTGGAGCCAGAAGCATGTGAACACCATCCAATAACATGAAC